GAATATACACTATCTTGTGTAGCAGATAGTTTGTTAGATTAGTTTTAGGTTTAAGTTTAAAGTTTATTAGTCACCCCATCACAACGTGCATAAAATTTTTCTTAATTATGCGAGTATTGTATTTTTGTATTTTCCTCCCAAAATTTATAATCATGCTACGTCTTGCACATAAAATGCGCAGTTTTATAACTAACTTAGTATGAAAGCCGTCTTCGGAATAGCTCGGAACTTACCTCCGATTTTTTTTTGTGTTGATTGATTTTCTATTCGGAGCCTTTCGGAACAGTACTTAGAGCCAATTATGCGATAATTACTCAATAGTACATATTTTATGCGGCAAATCTAAATCCAACTTGTTATGCGTTGTCGACTATACGTATTATGCGGTTTATGCGCCTGCCCCAAAATTCGATTGGATGAGATTGACGATCTTCAAAAACATTATACATTTTTTTCAAGATGATATCTCGATAACTACCCGATGGAAAGTTTTATTATTTTAATTCTATGAATTTATAGGATTAAATTAAAAAAAGGTTTAAATCTATTATAGATGACACCGACAAATTTCCAGAATCATATTTCGGAGTTACATCAGCCACGTGTTCGGCCATTGTAATTTTTGTCAAAATCATATGAACACGTAGTTAGCGTAACTCCGAAATGTATTTCTGGAAACTTTGCTGGAGGTGTCACCTATAATTGATTTAAACCTAAAAAAATTTTATTGAACTTGGATATATAGCAAATTTTCACTCAAAGTTCATAAAAATTTAGACGATTATCAAATTAAGACCGCAACCAAATTTTTCCAAAATTTGAGCGACGATATCTCGATAAATACAGTCTAAAATCAATAATTTTTTTTATTTAAATTCTATGAATGCATAAAATTAAAATAAAATAAAAAACTTATCGAATTTGAATATGTAGTTATCGAGATATTATCACTCAAAGTTCATAAAGAATTTAGACGATTATCAAAATAAAGACCGCGGCCAAGCTTTTTCCAAACTTTGAGCGATGCTATCTCGATAAGTGTATATTTAAAATCGATAATTTTTTTTTTATTTGATAGGTAGTTATCAAGATGATATTGCTCAAAGTTTGAAAAAAATATTTGAAAGATTGTCAAGAAATAATAAATCGGAAAAGTTCGGAAAATGATCCAATCAAAATCTGTGTAACCAGGAGAATTTTGTATGTTATAAAACGAGTAAGGGAAACACCGGGTAGATAGAGATAGTCCAAGATTCAAGATAAATGACAATCATATGATTTTGTCAGTCATATTAGAATTAATTAACAATACGGTAGTTATTAATGTCATATCCAGTTTTGTTAATTCCGTAATAGTCATATTAAGACATATCAGACATAGATATATTTAAATAAACGTTTATTATAGATAAGCTGGTTAAAATTACCCACACTTTTATTACTATTACTTATAATATTGCTAAATAGATCATGTATAACATAAACATAGAGATAGCCATATGAATTTATCTTTAGGAAATCAGAGCCAAAATGTCCACGAATTACAGATCATGGGAAACTGAATTGTAAAACAAAGTGATCATAACAGAATAAAGTTAGAAAATGTTATTATGTGATGTGTGTGTGAATCGTGACTATTGTTGGGAAAGAACATAAATTGTCATAATGACATAGAGAAAGTAAGAATTTTTGAGTGCTGATCCATAAATAAAAACGTAATTTTTTTTTTAAGCAGATCACGAAATATACAATTCCTTGTTCAAAAGAGATAATCGAAATATACAAATCTTTTGTTCGAAAGAAATAATCGAAAATAAATTTACAAATCTTTTATAAACGATGTTCGAAATTTGAATTTAACGATATGATTCACGAAAATAAATTTTACAAAAGTAAATTAAATGGGTATCAAACAATTAAAATAAATTTAACGGTCATCGTATGATACAACCAGGATGACAAAAATGCATTGCGTTATTTTCTTGTGGACACGGTCCATTACTTGTAGCACTTAAAATCACAATTTTTTCGGCAAGAGAATCAAATAAATGATGACGTGGGCGCGGTCCTCGTTTTTTTTGTATCCTAATGTAAGTACATTCTTCTTTTCTTTGAGAACATCTGAAGCACATAGATCCGTCAGGAATGCGAGTACACCTAGTTTTAGCATGTCTACAAGGATCACATGCCATTGTTGCGTTACGACGTTTTACAGTGGAATGTGCTTTATGCATATTGTCACTAAGTAATATTTTTTATGTATACAAAATGTTAATAACAAATAAACGAAATTTTGGACCTTGAGTGCCAAAGAGCAAAAACAACGTCGAAATGCTTATATTTATAAAAATCATATTAATTTGCTTGGCATATAATCATATTATATTTAATACATAATTCCCCGTCATAATTTTGAAAGTAATTTGGTTAGTTCTCATGCCCCTTAATTATTAATAGGTAGATCCATGGGAATAAAAAGAATTAAGGAAAATATAATGTTGCTATAAATGTCTGCAAAAAAAGAAAAAATGTTTGCTTTTTCGTAAATGGGTAAACAAAATGAAACAAAACTATCAAGTATTGATTCACTTGTTTATTAATATTATATCCAGTTATTTAAACTATAATCTAATCTAATCAGATCCAGTGGTTGCTGATGTTAATCAATGAAAATAATTAAGAGAATTAGATGCGTGTTGCAAAAAATTTGTATTATTGCTTTATGTATTTTATCGCGTGTTTGGATCAACTTTACATTAATTAGGTTTTATTTCAGTGCTTATGATAAATTTGAAAATATGGGTATAATATTGATATAATTATAGCCTGATTATCCTCGACTATGTTGATCAAAATTTGGAACAATAAATTTTAAGCGATTATTTTTGATTGGTCCATGTCTTTAATAGATCTTGTGTGTGAATCGTCGCTAATCCTAATTAATCCTCGTACTATGCATTCTAGAAATTTCTTTTATTCCTTTCCATGGAATATTATCATTATATCATACTATAAGGTGTGTATAGAAGTGTATTAACGCATTACCTACTCTAATTCCTAATTGAGGTGATCAAGCATGTATGGTGCACAGATGTTAAGTGACGGGACGACATTTAGGCTGTTTAAAATTGATTTTCCGGTTAAAGTTATCCCAAAATTAGACTGATCGATATAATAGCAGCATGGTAGTCTGGATTTTTCGATATACTATGTTAATTTTTATGCTTGTTTAATTTTCCTCTTATTTAATATATGTGGCATACAGTATAGAATTATTATTAATTATAATATATAAAAACTAACTATTTTGAGTTAATTTAAACTTTAACCCTCACCCTAACCTTAACTATTATAAATTTACTTAAATTGGTTCAAGATAACTAATTTTTAATATATATGCACACCTATTAAAGATCAACCCAAGTGTTGACATTCAAGCCTTAACCATATGCATGTGAGAGAAATTAATTATAACAATCCACACGTGAATTACATTGTACATACATCATGCGTCGCCCTTCACCAACGATTTGTTCGGATTAAAGAGACGTTTATATTTGGCAAGTGGGTTAATGTAAGTCTAAACTATATAAATCTATATATAATCTATCAACTATAAAACTTGACTGGACGGCTGAATGATCTAACGATGGATCATCTAGAATTTATGAAAAGTTTGTACACTTTAATATCGATCTTACTCAGTCACTCGGAAAACGTTTTATTTTTGATGTATAATTCACTTTTGCAAAACGGTCATTTCTATAGTAAGGATAAAATACGAAAGCTGATATTGAATAAACTTTCTTACTGTATGATAATAAGCAATGAAGATAATGATAGGGCTCCGTACAATTGTTGAGCATCCTTGCACGCTTCACTAAAATAAGAGCTATTTCTCAATGACCTACACGGAGAATTATCTATCATCGTCAGATTACGATCTATGTCTTCATCTGGTTTCATCTAATTGAACTACAGAATCAAGAGTTTATACTTACGGAAAGTTTGCATGATTGGATGGAAGTGCGTACTGATTTACTTCTGTTGGTAGTTACGACTTTAGTCCAATAGTGGTTACAGTTAAATATACTAATTAACTTTAGACGATTTAGTTAATTCACTTGGTATTATTTTGTCAATATGGATTTTCTTTTATAAATGGTTTCTTTATTAATAATATGTGATAGTTATAATATTTAATACAGTAAAATATGATATTAATATAAGAAAATACATGCTATAGAAGTACAAAGTATAGCTTTTAAATAACTAATATTCAAATTATATATTCCTAGTTTTTGTATGTTAACAGAGTTGTCGAAAAGTAAAGTGGTAGTTAATAATCACAATTGAGATATAAAGTGGTATAAGTATTACAATTGAAATTATTATCAGATATGTTTCAAACATATATCGAAAGTTAAAAGGTTACTAATAACTTATAAGGGTTGAATTTGAAAATTTAATTATGATTAATCATGAATATTTCTAAAGTAAAAGTCAGTTTAAATACATTTTGAATAATATACATTCATTTCAATTTTTCGATTGTTATTTTGACTATAATATGAATTATAATTATTGTTTTCAATTTCTAATCTATTTGGGATTAAATTATTCCCAATAAGCAGGGCTTATATTCTTTTACATGTTTTAGTATTAAAAATATCAGTATTTATATCACGATTCTTATTAGTCGATTTTTTGTATAATTCAATATTTGATTAATCTATTGGTAAAGTATTTCTAAATTCATTTTTGATAATCATCAGTAGATTTCTCAAATAACATGTATACCAGATTCTTTTCTATAGCCCCCTTTCTAAATCATGTGACTAGCATATAGGCTACTGTCAATAGAAATCAAGCAAACTAACATTTTAAAAAAAATTAAACCCTTAACTTCACAACTTATATCTCAAAAGAAATTCTAGATCTTAAGCTTTTTTCTGAATATTAATTTATCAAGTAACCTCAAAATTCATCAAGATATAAGTTGTGAAAGTTAAGGGATTAATTTTTTTTAAAATATTAATCTGCTTGATTTCTATTAACGGCAGCCTATATAGTTCACAAGTTTGCAACATTTTAAAAACCTCATACATACGTACTGTACGTATATTGATTTATATAGCATATATATTTCTGTCTTTATCTAACCTTATTAAACAACTAAAAGTGCATTTTATATATCACATGGCAAGGTTGTTGGAGTGTGCAATGCACTATGTAAATCAAAACTATGTGTATTGTCATTCAAGTTGACTAAAAGTTGTTTTTTGAAAAAATTTGGTGTTTAGTAAGTATTTGGTTTAGGTGGAGTGTTAGTATTTTTTGTAAAAATTTTCGTATGTGTTCAATTAGTGTGATAGGACATGTATAATTTAAATCATTATTGTAGTGTTGTTTTTTTGAGATAGCCCATATATTTGCCATTTCTAGCTTTTTGGTGTTTGTTCCAATTCCAAACATGCATTGAAGATTAGAAGTAATAATGAGATTGCAGTATAAGGTAATGTTTTAACATTTTATTGGATATGCCCGATGTTCCAGTTGCTTTTTGTATTGGAGTAGCATTGATTGTAGTGGTTATTTCATCATGTGTTATTGGTAGAGTGAGATTATTGTAGATATGGGGTGAGATGTTAGGGAGAGGTTGTAGATAGGATATCCATTCCTGTTCGAAGTTTGTGTTTGTTGGATTAGACTTGGTCTAGTTGTTGAAGTGGTCTCTTGTTGCTTGTTTTATTTCCTTTGGATCCATAATTATTTTATTAGAGGTGATTATTTTGTTGTAGAAAATATTTGCTTTTCCACACTTTAGTATGCTATTAATCATTCTTGAGGTGTTTGTTTCCATATCTTTGTAGCATTACTAGATATAGAAGTTTATTTTTTCTCTTTATGCTGCTTTAGTCTTGATGCTTCAGGCTTTTCATATTATATTTTTGGTTTTGTTCTTGTCTCATTTAAGCGTTTGCTTTTTTCTTTGGCATGCCTATTGATCTTGTTCTTGCTTTCCTTAAGCGTTGGTTTCATTCTTCGGCACTGTTATATAACTCTGGTCTTGTTTCTCTTTCTTAAATATTGACATTATTCTTTGGCGCTACTCTATAACTTCTTGTTTCCTTTAAGCATTTTCTTTTTTTCTTTGATGCACCTATAACTTTGATTTTATTCTTATCTTCCTTAAGCATTGGCTTTTGTTCTTTGATGCTGTTATATAACTCTGGTCGAAACGACTGGTCATTTGGTTTGAGGTTTGTTGTAGTTGCCATAAACAATTCATGATGTAGATCGCACAAAAAAACTTCTTATGAATTGGTTTATGGAGACAAGCCCCGTGGTAATTGTACTCTGGTAAATGAACTTTATACAAATAATATTTTCGACGAAGAGAAAATACCAGATACAATTGAAATCTCTGATGCTGATTATGAAATAGACCTGGACGATAATATGACTAGTATTAAAATTACTCAAATTAAAATAAAAAGCATTTTATTTATTACAAAATTTTACTTTTTTTTAATAATATTTTTATTTATTTTAGATTTGTTGCTTGACAACATTAATAATCAAGAACAATCACCTGACAGTACTGTTTATTCAGTCCCATCGCCCAATAATAATATTAATCGTTTTGTGTCTTCACCCACAAGCCTTGTATTTTCACCCAGAAGCATTGTGTCTTCGCCCAGAAGTCCAGTACAATTACATGATAATGATGGTAGTTATATTGTGCCTTTTCCTAATAGCTATTTTAAAACCCCCAAAAAAATTTATTTATTGTAAGTTCATATGAAAAAAAAAGCTTACCTCAAGGACGTAGTATTAAAGAGACGACTACGACGATTATGTGCAGAGAAGGGGTGCATAATAAATAGTGAACCAGTATCATCATCTAACAATAATGTTTTGTCTTTGTTCAATAACTGTGGGTAGTATCTTCATCTAATAACTATGGTTTTGCATCTTCGCCCAATAACCGTGGTCTGATGTTTTCACTCCAAAATCTAGTATCTTTGCATAATAATAATGGTAGTTATACTGTGCTTTCTTCCAATAACTATAATAATTATTCACATGGATGCATATGAAAAAAAATAGAATTCATTGTGAGTGTATACGAAAAAAAAGGGATTCATTGTGGGTGTATACGAAAAGAAAAAAAAATATAAGCTTATCTCATGGACGTAGTATTAAAGGGATGACTACGACAATTATATGCGGGGAAGGGGCGCATAATAAATAATGAACCGGTATCATAATCTAACAATAATTTTATGTCTTTGTCTAATAATTGTGGTCTAGTATCTTTGCCCAATAACTATGGATTTGTGTCTTTGCCCAATAACTGTGATCTGGTGTCTTCACCCAATAACCATGGTCTGGTATCTTTGCCCCAAAACCCAGTGTCTTTATATGATAATAATGGTAGTTATACTATACTTTCTTCCAACAATTATAATAATTCACATGGATACATATGAAAAAAAAAATAGAATTTATTATGGGTGCATACGAAAAAAAAAAAGATTTATTGTGGGTGCATACAAAAAGAAAAAAAAATAGAAGCTTATCTCATGGACATAGTATTAAAGGGACAACTATGATGATTGTGCGTGGGAAAGGGGCGCATAATAAATAGTGAACTGGTATCATCATCTAATAATAAATTTTTGCCTTTGTCTAATAATTGTAGTCTAGTATCTTTGCCCAATAATTATGGGTTTGTGTCTTTACTCAATAACTGTAATCTGGTGTCTTCGCCCAATAACCGTGGTCTGGTATCTTTGCCCCAAAAACCAGTGTCTTTATATGATAATAATAGTAGTTATACTATACTTTCTTTCAACAATTATAATAATTCACATGAATGCTATGAAAAAAAAATAGAATTCATTATGGGTGTATACAAAAAAAAAAGGATTTATTATAGATGCATACGAAAAGAAAAAAAAATATAAGCTTATCTCACGGACGTAGTATTAAAGGGATAACTATGACGATTGTGCGTGGGGAAGGGGCGCATAATAAATAGTGAACCGGTATCATCATCTAACAATAATTTTTTGCCTTTGTCTAATAATTGTGGTCTAGTATCTTCGCCCAATAATTATGGTTTTGTGTCTTCGCCCAATAACTGTGATCTGGTGTCTTCGCCTAATAACTGTGATCTAGTATCTTTGCCCCAAAACCCAGTGTCTTTACATAATAATAATGGTAGTTATACTATACTTTCTTCCAACAATTATAATAATTCACATGGATGCATATGAAAAAAAAAAATAGAATTCATTATGAGTGCATACAAAAAAAAAAAGATTTATTGTGGGTGCATACGAAAAGAAAAAAAAATATAAGCTTATCTTACAGACTTAGTATTAAAGGGACGAATACAATGATTGTGCGCGGGGAAGAGGTGAATAATAAATAGTGAACCGGTATCATCATCTAACAATAATTTTTTGCTTTTGTCTAATAATTGTGGTCCAGTATCTTCACCCAATAATTGTGGTTCTGTGTTTTTGCCCAATATGGTGTCTTTATCTAATAGCTGTGATCCGGCATTTTCGCTCAATAACTATGGTCAAGTGACCCCAAAATCCAGTTCTTTTACACGATAATAATGGTAGTTACACTGTGCTTTCTTTTAATAATTATGATAGTGTGTGTATGTGAAGTGAAAAAAAAATGTAAAAAGGCTTATTCCATGGCCTGAATAATGTTTTGTTAACTGTTTGGTATCTTTGTTCAATAATTGTGATCTAGTGTCTTCGCCTAATAGCTGTAGTTTGGTGTCTTTGGCTAATAACAATCTTGATCTACCTGAAATTCATGGTAGTTCAAAACCTTCATTTAGTAACGGCAGTAAGTTATTTAATCTTGTTAGTTACATTTTATATAGAAGGTACTGTATATACTTATTAAAATATCAAATCTTATTCTAGCTCTTGTTG